AAGGAGGCTGGGCTAGGCCCAGAATAATTCAGGCAGGGAGGGGGTGTGTTTGTTTTGAAATTTTAGTAATCTAGGAATGGGGGGAGCTAATAACAGTGGGCTTAAGCCCATTACCGTTTGAAGGGGGTCCGGATGATCCTGTGTAGCGAGGCGTATGGGAATACGGTGGGACTTGGCCTTACGGTCGTCCTGTAATGATCAAGCGGATGACAGTGGAAGGCGCATGTTTACTATGATGCACGCTCACGCATGGAATCAAACGGAATATTAACATATGTGTTTTTTTTTTTTTACATTTTTCTGCAAACTCCTTTACAGTAAACTCATTTTCTCTCTCTCTCTCATAGTTCTCCCTCATCCTCTCGCTCACAAACGCCAAACCCTTCCTCTCACAAACCCTACACAAATCTCGGCGGCAGCGGCGACTGAAAACAAACCCTACCCACCGTGAATCCAACCCCAAAACAAAAGAAAATATTTATTAGTTTTACCCTTTCTGTGATTTTCCTGTTCTTGAGCGTGTCCGATTTTCTACTGACCTCCCTCTCTTCCTCTTGATTTGCAGGACAACGATGGCTCTTGAGGGTGGTGGTGAAGGATGTTTCAACGGTGTCCAGCAACGGCGGTGAGGGTTGGCTACGGGATTAGGGTTTCAGCCAGTAAAACCCGAATCCCTCCCCCCTTCTTCTTCAGCAATGGTGATGCCTTTGTTCTTGTTCAATTTGTCTTCTTTCTTGTTTTTTGTCAAAAATCTCCCCTCCCTTTTTTCTGTAAAAATTTGCCTCTCCCTGTTCTTTTATTCTTCTGTTTTCTTATATAGTTAGGACTTTTAGGATTTTGTAGATTTAATAATTACTGTTATAAGCTTAGATTTAGGGTATTAGAGCAACTTAGGGGATTCAGATTTCATTGTAATTGATTTGGATTTCGTATTGAATGCAATTGGAGGTTCTGATAATGATTTGAGATTCTTGTAATATTTGATTGCTATACTATTTGGATTATGTCTTACTGTAATTTTCTGGATTGTAATGGATTTGATTTGGTTTGATAATGTTTCAAGATTTGATTGGATTTTCAATTTCTACAATGTTAGTTTTTTTTTGCAAAAATCACGCGCTTAGTTTAGATCTGAACAGTGCTTGTTAGTGCGAAAATTTTGTAAGATTGAAACAGTGTCCATTTTTTCTTTCACTTGGGCTTTACGCTTCTTTTATTTACTTAGCCCAATTACCCCTTACAGTAACTATTCCTTACCAAGCCCAGTTTTAATAATTTTCAATTAGTAACACATTTTTACTAATAAAATGTAATATACAAATAACCACAACAATTTCTCAACAAATCCAGGCAACGCTATTACTAACAAGCTATGCTTTTCCGAAACAAACAACAATTTTTTTTTTGTTTGATAATAATACTTAACAAATCTTTTAATAAATACTTTATAGAAAATATAAAATAATTATAATAAAAAGTATTCAAAAATAACAGTAAAAAAATGAAATAAAAATGCCAAATGGGCTCACTTAGAGACTATTTTAATGGGCATGTAGTTTGTACTAGATTCAAAGCTTTAAATTTAGTTTACCCCCTTTTAGTAACAAATTAAAAAGATCTCTTTTAACTAGTTATGAATAAGAATTTTCTTAGAAAAATAACAGCGAACGTTTTATAATAATTTTTTCTACAATAAATCAACAACAAAAATGACAGATGAACTGATTTTAAAGATCCCAATGGGCCAGCTAAAGGAGAAGCCTTAATGGGTATGTAACTCGGTATTGTACTGATTATAATTCCAATTAACAACTTAAGCTTGCGTTGGTTTTAAGACTTAAGTACATAAAAATTATTTGAATAATTTTTCCATTTTCGAGTCGCATGGGCCATAGGCCAACATGCCATATGAATAGGTTTACACGAGTCTTTCTGATTTAAAAATCCCCGCCTTCCTGAATTTAAGGTACACCCCGTAGTTGGATAAAGATGGACCATCAGATACTACTGTACCGTCTTTAGTTGAATATTTCTTCAATTTTAATCTCGAAAAATAAAATCATCGAGGTAGGACAAATTTGGGGTACGACACATATACCACTCAAAACATCATATCAAGCATCATGATCATCAATACATCATATAAACACCACAAATACGTCACAAAACTCATCATAAATTAATGAAATAATTAAATAAATAATCTAATTATTTTTTGGTGTTGCAACTCTCCCCCACTTACAAGAATTTATGCCCTCAAAAATTACCTGATAGAAACAAATTCGGATAAGACTCTCTCATCTGATCATCGCGTTCTCTAGCCCAGCTTTCACCAGCTGGTCCACCCCACAATACCTTCACTAAGGATATGTATTTACCCTGCAATTGCTTCACTTCCCGTCCTTCTATCTGCACAAGTGATGCTTTAACAATCAACTTATCCCTCACATGTACATCATCCTATTAAATCATATGCGAAGGATCCGGAATGTATTTTCTCAACTGAGACACATGAAACATGCCATGAAGATTCTCAAGCAACAACGGAAAAGTAATCTGATAGGACACCTCACATATCTTCTCTGAAATCTAATATGGACCAACAAAATGTGGCGTGAGCTTTCTCGACTTCAAATCTCTACCAACACCAGTCACTAGAGTAACTCTTAAAAACACATGGTCATCCTTTTGGAATTCGATTGCCTTCTTCCTCGTGTCATGATAACTCTTATAAAGATTCTGAGAAGCATTCATCCTCTCTTGACACATCTTAATCTTTTCATTTTTCTCCTGTACGATCTCTGGTTCGAGCACATCTCTCTCGCCTGACTCTACCAACACCCTAGAGTTCTACACCTCCTACCATACAACGCTTCATACGGTGCCATACAAACACTCGCATGAAAAATATTATTGTATTTAAACTCAATCAACGACAATTGACTATCCCTAGATCCCCCACGTCCAAGTCTTGTTACACAAAGATCTTTGTCTCAACATGTGTTAGGACATTATTATCTGTATACCAAAACTTCATCTTTCATGTAAAAGGCTACCTTCAACTGAAGAACTTGACATCGCGTTGAGGGACTTGCCTCCCATTAAAAAAGATACATTCGGCTAAGGGACTCGCCTCTCATTAAAAGAGATACCTTTGGATAAGGGACTTACCACCTATTTAAAAAAATTCACATGCAGTTGAGAGACTCGTCCTAAGCTAAGGGATGTGTCTCCCATCAAAGGGCGCACCCTAGTTCACGGGACATAACATGAAATAAGCCTTAAAACACTTTGCACTTTATAAGTGGTCGTGCTTGAGAGAATATGTGGTGTTATATTCATGAGAGTTCCAAATAAAGGTGACATAAGGATCTCTGCCTTGTGAGATATCGCTTGGGCGCTGCCTTTGCATAGCATGGGGATCACCCTCATAATAAGACACGTGTAACTATCCCTTAACTAGTCATGCAGACGAAGTCATATCACACATTCGTAAAAAATAGGATGTCAACAATCTCCCCAAGTCAAGGGGGAGATGTTACTGCTTCTGAAGGTTTCCTAAACCCTAGGCCTAAAAGCCTCAATAAATATTTGACCCTTTGAGGGTATAAGATGAATGACATCTTAACCAGTATAATGCACAATATAAAGCCTTTCACCTCTTGAGAGTTGGTCTTTCTTATTACCGTAAACACCATAAACTTCACCAAATATATATATATATATATATATATATATATATATATATATATATATATATATATATATATATATATATATATATATATATATATATATATATATATATATATATATATATATATATATTGTGGGAGCAATTAAAATTGTCAGTAGGGAGTGCAAAGTGAAGTGCTGACATCTATTTAATTGATTTGGACAACAAATGATGTCTTAGGGTTGAAGTTGCATGCTTTAGGCGAGAATAGGGTAACATTTGTTCCCCGTGTTCGCTTCTTTTGCTTTGTCTCTAGGCTTTTCTCTCCTCGGGCCATGTGAGTGGCCGAAAACAATTTTAATATTTGAATAATGTAATTAGGTTAAATTCATGCAATACTATATTTTCTTTATAAGTTCGATCATGCAATAAAGTCGGCCAAATAATCTTATAATATGAGCAATGCGTTAAACTATCAGATTTGACATACATTTGTAAATAGTTCCTTATAAATTTAAAATTCCTATTATTGTTGATTTCTCGATCGAAGATCGATATTGCTTCTTTCGTATTATTTATTTAAATATTTTGAATTTTTTTACCGTATTAAAGGCATTTTAATAATCATATGATTATTAAGCACGAAAGATAAAATAACCAATTGACACTCTATTTTATACCGATGCTTATGTGAATTGTAAGATCTTTCCATTAATTTATTAATATGTATGGTAAATTTAATTGAGATTGATGAAACAATATGTTGTTGAGGTAGCTTTTATTAATTTGTGTGATAAATATAATTGAGTTAAATGAAACAATATCATGTCAAAAACACTTGAACAAAATCGTGCTGGAAAGCCAATGTATGAACAAATTATTAGGTTAAAAAGGTCTCATATTATTGAATTACTAATTAGAAGTATGACAAAAATTTGTGATTAGAAAGCAATTATTGATGTTTAAGACATTAAGGAATAATGTGTGCAACAATTCAATATACACGCAACATAATTAACAGAGACGAATTTGGCCACTAAAAGAAAAACTTAATCTATCAATGCATGCACTCCAAGCAACCATGTATACATGGGATAAGCATGATACAAACTTAATAGACATATATTATCCCTCAAGTTATCATAACTATTTCTTAATTAACGCGTGTTATACTCAGTTTTTGTATTTTAGCATTCACGAATAAACTCCTATATATAGTAGTGAATTTGTAGTAACATTTGCTTTAAGCAAAGTTATTATTTCCTCATAAAATTTCAATTTATTTGTCATAGAAACAAAGAAATTAAGAGACAGAAGCAGAACAATGGCACTAATTAAATGGTTTCTCAATTCAGCTTGCAATATTTTAGGGTACCCTACAGAAGAAAAAGTAGAAGGTAACCCTAATGGAGATGTCAACAATAAGTGCTTAAATAATTTGAAGGAGATTATTGGTGAAAACACTTCTTCTTATGAGTTTCAAATGCCTCTTCACTATCCACATTATACCAAAAGTGATTATGAGAAGATGGAAGAGTGGAAGGTGGAATTGCTTCTTAAAGAGTATGGATTAAGTTTCGAGGGTAGTCTTGATGAGAAGAGACGTTTTGCAATGGGTGCATTCTTGTGGCCTGATCAGTATTGAAGGAATTGTTTGAAATAACCCTTTAATTATGATATACTATATTATAATGCTAATAAATGTATAAGAATTTTAAGCTTTGGTATTTAATTATGATATTATGTTTGATAGAATTTTTTATTTTATTATGATTAAATATGTTCTTTTTTTTTATAAATATGGCAAATTTTATTTTTAGTCTCTATTAAAAAAATTATATATTTTGTTCTTATAAAATTTTTATTCATACAATTTTAGTCATTGTTACTTTTAAAAATTTTGAAAATTATTTAGTTATCCTTAAATTTTAAATAAATTTTTTCATGTATTTAGAATACATAAAATATTTCTTTATTAAATTTTAGAATTTTTTAAAATGAGATAAATTAAATATTAATCTTTTAAAATTAAAAAGATATTGATGAAAGTAATGAAAATATCGACGTAGAAATAAAATTTAAAATTTTTTTTTTAATTTTTTTTTTATAATGTTATAAATATGTTTGTAAAATAATCATTCAAGAATACACATCGGCTTAGCAACAAATACTAAAACTACGTGCATATTAATTTTGTAGAAATTAAAATATGTCATATCTTTTTATAAAAGATTTAGTAATTTATAGTAAGCAAAAACATATTTAATCTTATTTTATATTTCAAAACCACATGCTAAACACCAATCATCTTCCATTTAGTTGAAATTAGAACCAACCAATACTCCAAAGATAACAAATTTGACCTCACTTCAACAAAAACACCTTTAGATTTTCCTAACTGAATGAACAAAACAATCAATTAACTTTGTCACGGGATGCATAAATACTATCTTGAACCTATTCAGTAACAATGTTCAACCATCCATGGAAGTGATATAACATCTTAACCATCATATACAAAAAAAAAAAAAAAATTAGAATCCACAACAACATAAAACAATTAATATTGAAAGTTTATAATAATTCAAATGTAATATGGAAGCTTCGGAAAGTATTATGTCGAAACAACTTAGTTGAGAAGCACTTCTGAAAAGTAAAAATCTGAAATTTTCGCAGAGGAAATTGATTATTAAAAAATGGATAATCGATTTGTACAGTTGAGATTTTTCTGGATTTTCATTTTTACTTCAGGAAATTGATTCCCTTGTTTTAGAAAATCGATTTCCAACGTGATTATTGTGTTGTTTTGCTGTTTTATGGGCCTATTGATGTTCCAACTTATTTTGCTTTGTATCCTATATATAATTCCTCATGTAATGTATTTTTTTAAAGAATAATTAATGTCAAATAAGATCTCTCTCTCTCTCTCTCTCTCTCTCTCTCTCTCTCTCTCTCTCTCTCTCTCTCTCTCTCTCTCTCTCTCTCTCTCTCTCCAAACTCTCTCAAACTTCATCTTCTCCAATTAACCACTTTTCACCATCAATTCACCAACTTATTTTGTGTATGTTCCATCATTTGGCATCAAGAGTCTATGTTCTGATCTATTAATTCGCTGCAAACATGTCTACCGTTTCCAATGATTGAATCTCTACCAATCTTTCAATCCTTGACTCCAAGAACTATGATAAATGGTGCAAACAAATGAAAGTTTTGTTTGGGTATCAAGATGTTCTTGAAGTGGTTGATGAATACTTGATTCATGGAAAATATCACATCATTTTATAGCATTTATCTTACTTCAAAGACAAATTTTCTACATAAAAACCTCAATTATTGAATAGAAATGGTTTCTACATGTTTACTTTGGATATAGTTTGCTTTTGTGCGGGACTTGGTCCCTACAGCAAAAACCAGCAATCAGACATTTTGCTAAGCGAGCAGTAGCGAAACCAAGGCAGAAGTAAATCAACCACTTTCACCAGCAGCGAGGAGAGTCGAAGCATTTCTCTTAGCGAATCGGGCCTTCTCTTAGCGAAACAGGCAGTCAAAGAAAGATATTTTGGAAAAGACTTAAGGCTGAAGAAAGCAACTTTGCTAAGCGAGCCACACTTCGCTTAGCGAATTTTGGCGATTTCCTGAAGACAAGTTGATTTGAAATTTTAATTAAGAATCAAAGACTTCGCTTAGCGAACTATAGTTCTCTTTGAAACTTAGGCGGCCAAAACTACTATAAATAGGACAGAAACTCGGCTCAAAAGAATATGAAGGTGTGAAAAACACAAGTAATGGGGATTTGAATTGGGTCTTTAAAACAAAATGATTCTTTTAAAAATATTCCCCTTTTAAGTTAAAATGTTTTTTCCTTCACTCTTGATAATAACAATAAGTAAGAACAGGAAGTAAAGAACAATGCATATTTATACTAGTTCACTTGAAAATTATCAAGCTAGTCTAGTCCATCCGCCAAGGTGATTTCGTCTCATTCAATCGAGGACTTAATTCACTATAACCAAACCGATTTCAATTTGCACAAGCTACCCACAAATGACTAACAACCTCTAGACTCACAAGCCCTAGACTTCTTAAGGATTCAGACCTACCCGGTCCCTTAAGAAATATCAACTAATAATCAACCTGGTTATTACAATGCATAAGCTACCCGTAAGTGACTAACAACTTCTAAAACTCGCAACCTCTAGACTTCTTAAGGATTCATATCTGCCTGGTCCCTTAAGGAATATCAAACAACAATTTGAATACAAGTTTTGTTTAAAAGAATGTTGCTTCTAAAAACCTGAGTATATAAACTATTTTATGAAAAGTGACTTAATAATGTGAAAGCAATGAACAACGTTTGCGCGTGAATATTTCGTTATTTGGATGCTTTCTTTCTTAGTCTTCAAGCCTTTTTATATATCCATTAGCTTAATGTATCTGTTAAGGGATACTCTTGAAATTTCCATAAACATTGACAGTTTGAACAGTAACATGGGAGACAAGATCGTGCGACGCGTCCATCCTTTCATGGTAGTGGAATGAAATATTGATTGTATCATGTACTATTTATACCAAATTAACTTTATCTTCTTTCCTTATGTACTTCAGAAGCTTATGCGGATATGAGTTTAGAAGCGAGAACATAACATCAGGTCTTCAAAACTTCAAGTCTTCAGAGTCATCAGAATTGCGTCTTCTGAGTCTTCAGCACTTGATCGTGAGAATCATTTCTTGGAACCTTGGGTCTTTAGAACTTCAAATCTTTAGACTCTGTCTTTTAGAGTCTTCAACACTTGGTCTTCAGAACCCTTATCTTTAGAACTTCATTAATAGAAACACAAGCTTTCAGCATCTGGATTTCAGTAGAAACTTTGTCTTCAGATATTCTAACTTTGTTTCTTAGGAACATGTTGTCTTTAGAAGCTTGAGTCTCCAGCATCTGGACATAAGTAACAACTTTTGTCTTCAAATATTTTGGTTGGTTTCTTCAGACAAATATCAGAGTTTACACTTCGAGCCTTCTGGAATGTCTTGCTACTATTCAATAGGTCTTGTGTAGCATAGAAGCAGAATTAAATCTCTTCTAATGTTTTAGCCACTCCATTCATCAGAAGCAGAATCTGTTTGTTAATTACTCAACAATAACAAACATTAGTATAACAAAATTGTTCATACAACTATACTCATTTGTTATCATCAAAACTCGAAGATGATATTGCAGAACCAAATCTTCTTCTTACAATCTCCCCACTTTTGATGATGACAAAACTATGTATTTTGATGACACAATTTTGTACATATAACCATAATCAGTAAAATTAAAAGAGTAAGAAATACTTATCCTTTTTCTGATACTCCCCCTGAGTCAATGACTTGATGAAGATCGAATATTTTCACTTTGAATCATTAGAGTAAAACTCCTCATAGTTCCAATAGATTAGATATCGAGATCTTGAGATTCTTGACTTCAGGATGCCGATAGACAAATTGAGATCTTTATTTCACACAACTTCTTTATTTAATCTTTGAAACTTTAATATGACTAAGACATCTTCCAGATTCTTAATTTTAGGTTTTACTTCTTGAAGTCTGATTATGAATTGAAGAACATCTTCAGAGTCTGAAGCCAACATGTTAGGCATAAAATTTAAATAGTGTTTTTAGATCTTTTTCTTTTAATCAGAGTTCTAAATTCCTGAAAAAGAAAAATAATTCTAACAGAAATAAGAGTTTAACTGGGTTAAAATGTAAGCAGCTCTTTTCAGAGAACATTTTTCAGAACTTGATTATTGAAATCAAAATTACGTTCATTTAAATTACTCCCCCTTTTTGTTATAATCAAGAAGATAATTATGTGTTAAAAACATAAAAACAAGAAGAAACAATCAAGAAAAGATAAGAAGTTTCATTGATGTGTCAATAGAAAACCTCATTAAATTTAAATGGTCACATGATAGGTAAGTCAAAAGAAGTAGAAAAAAAACAAAATCCAAAAAGAAAAGTCTTGCAGACATCAATTAAGTATAGTCATATGGTTTTAGAAACAAATATGAAAAATCCTAGAGCCTAAGATTCAGAAGTTGCAGGAGAAGACGATGAAGGTTCAGATATTTTTGCCAAAATCATCTTGAGCATAGTTTGAACAGATTCATTGACTTTGTCCTTAGCTTTGAAGTTTTCCCTGAAAATTTTCTGCTCTTCCCTTATTTCATTAATGGTTGTCTTCAGATCGCAGTCATACTCGGAGTTGGAAACCATCAAAGCTTGCTGCTTACCCTTTTCTTCAGCAGCTTTTGCAGCCAATCTGGATTCCTCGACTTTTCTGGCTTCTTCAGCCTCATTTAGTGCTCTAACTTTTGCTTCTCTTTATTTTTCAGCAATTAGTTCAATATATATAGCTTTTTCTCTTGTTTCTTTTCTTTCCATAACCATTTCAACATTCCTAATTTTGGATGTTTTAACAAAAGAGTTTATTCTTTCAACTTCAGAGGACATCCACTTCTGAAATTTCTTACAAGAACCATCCATGTCTTAAGGATCAGTACTTGTACTTGCCTCTGCTTTTAACTTAGCAATGCTTTTCTTAGCCTTGATTCTAAATATGTTAGTGCATTCATCCAAGGTTTTTGGAACATATTTTTCATAGAC